GTCGACATTGCCATCGGCACTACCACCTTCTTTCCTGCCCGTCTGATCTTTGCCGTTGCTGCTGTTCACCGAGGAGAAGTTGTCGAGGATGCGGTGGAAGACGTTTGCTGAATAAGAAAAAAGTTGGTTAAAAAATGTACAAAAGGTAAAGTATAGCACTTACAATTAAGGGCCCTCATGACAATACTGTAGACTGCGTTCTTCGCACTGCCAAAGAGGTTCGGATGGTGCTCTCCAGTGGTGGTGGTAGAAGGAGTTGAAGTAGGTGTTGTTGAAGGTGTAGCCTGAGGAGGAGGTGCCGGAGCTGAAGTAGAAGTTGATGAGGTCACAGAGGCCGGCTCCTCGGCAATGGAGCTACCCTCCTCCTCTTTGACCACAGTTTTCGGCTGTTGCTGCTGCTGCTGCTGACTGGCACTGCTATCCACAATGGCCAGCCCGTCCAGCGGCCCGCCGCTGTTTGGCTTATCAATGCGCTCCACCTCATCGAAGAGGCTGGTCCCATAGACGCGCATCACACTGACCGGGCAGAAGTGCTCTGCGCCGTAGTAAGAGTGCAGCTGCACCCGCAGGTACTTCACAAAGCCGTTGTTGGCCAGCTTGAAGCCCTGCACCGTGCGCACGTCTGCCGCCGTGAAGCTGCCCAGCACCGACCACTCCCCCCGGGCGGGGTAGTGCTCGCTGGCGGCGACGGAGAACTCCCGCGGAATGCTCGAGTACAGCTCAAAGTTGGCCATCTCCAGGTAGGCGGGCTGAATGGTCTCGCAGAGCTCAATGACGAACCAGTTGGCCGTCTTGCAGGGATTCAGCATGTACTCGTCCGTCTGCTCGTTTAGCACTCTGGGAAAGGAGGTTGATTAGAAGATGTTGTTCACAAGTCTGACAACTCACCGATTGACAAAGTCCGCCTCGGCATTGGAGTCGACAATCTTGGCGCCGCACTCGTGCGAGGCAAAGTTGCGCGCCCGATTGGTGGGCAGCGTCTGCGAGGTGCCGGAGTCCGAAGCGGTGGAGTGGACTGGCTTTCCATTGCCGCCGTTGCCATGGCCACCGCCGTTTCCGTTGACAGTGGAGCTCGATGAAACGGTCTTCAGAGCAGACCCATCTCCACCTTGAGAATGCGAGTCCTGAAGCAGTAGTTGCTGCTGATGCTGCTTCAGCAGGTTGAGATCACGCTTCTGCTGCTCCGAGTGCTCCATCTGCTCGGAGATCTTCCGCCGCCACTCCTCAAAGGAGAGCATGTCCTTGGTGGGCGAGGAGGCGACCTTCATGCGAATGATGTCGTCCACCGTCGTTCCACCGCCACTTTGACTTTCACTCGTGATTGACTGTTGAGTGCTCTTGTTGCTGTTGTCGTTGTTGTTGTTAGTTGTGGTCGTTGTTGTGGTGGTCGTCGTCGTTGTCGTCGTTGAAGTGGTCGTGGTGGTGGTCGTGCTTGAAGCAGCAGCCCCCTTTTCCACTTCATTTTGACTAGATATGTTTTGGGTTGTTTTATCTGAAATTTAAAAAAAAAGAATAAGTTAGAATGAGCTTTTGTTTTTACTTTTTTTATAAAGTTTTTGCATACCTTTCTCCGGCAGATCACAGCCCTCCACCGCCACTTCTGCTGTTGCATTGTAATTTGGCACTTTTGAAGTAGGTGTTGTAGTTGTGGACGGTGTTGCAACAGAAGATGCAGCAGTTGTTAAAGAGCTGCTCGAGCTTTGAACTTTGCTGGGCGTTTTCCTCCTCCTCCTTTTCACTGAACACTGACTGTTGGATGAGATTTTTGCTGAATAGGTGTAAGCTGAGAGGAAACGGTGTTGAAGACTCAAGCAGACTGGTGGCGACGACCTTTTCAAGGCCCTCTTTCTTCTGGTCAGAGTTTGAGAAGACTGAGGAGGCGTCGCCTTAGCCTCAGCCTCAGCTGAAGAAAGATTAAACCGATTTTCAGCTGAATTGGGCGAGTAAAAGTTGTGGTCAGACTGTTGTTGCTGTTCCGCCTCTGGACTGAGCCGCTGCGGTTCAGTTTGAGGCTGATGATGAAGAGTTTGTTGTTGTTGTTGTAAAGTTGAAGGCGCTAAAATGCTCCCATTCGGATCACCTTTACCACCACCTCCCACTGATAAAAATGGATCATCCTCTGCAGAGGGAGAGCGATTCAGGCAGAGGTGAGTGCTGGCGAAGATGACCACCACCAGGGCGAAGATGCTCTTTGAGGTGAACATCCTGCTGGCGAGCAGCCGAGCCAAAAGGGCGCGGGCGGTTAGTCAAAATCCAAGCACTGGATTCTGCTGAAGTTGCTGCTGCTGCTGCTGCTGCTGCTGACTTCTGCTGAAGCTTTGACAGAGGCTTTGTTTGCTCGTCGTTTCGAAATTGCTAGAATTACCGTTGCGGCTAAGGTGCTGGCGCTCGGCTTCTAGCGTAGACATTTTCCACGGTAGTGATGATGAGAATGATGCTGATGATGAGTGTGATGGTGATGATGATGGTGATAGTCCTCCTCGATGATGCACTTAGATTGCAATCCTCCTCAGAGAGAAAGAGAGCGGGTAGAGTAGTGGGTATCTCCTCTCTCTCCTCTTCCTCTCTTGACTCGCCGTGTGTGTGTGTGGATCACGAGGAAATCACACGTAACGTTGCAGCAGCCGCAGCCTTCAGGCGTCGCTCAGCTGAGAAGGCAAAGGCAG